TCAGGCCCCTGCCCACTCGCCTGGGCATTCCCAGCAGCCAGAGCAGTAAGGCTGGACCCTGCTGGGTCCTCTACAACCCATGGGTCAGCTTGCCTTGGTTCATGGCCGTAAGAGGAAACACGCAGAAACAAACTGCATTCCCGGCTCAGAGTGGGGAAAGGTGGGGCTGGAGACACTAGGAGGGATGGGCCAGGCCGTGTGCTCACTGAAGCCCATGTCTGATGGGAGCTGACAGGGAAGTCTGGAGGTGGGGGTGAGTGTCAGCTGTTGCGTCCACTGCTGCAGAAGGACCCCCATCCTTGAGCAGCCGAGGCTACACACAGGGCCGAGGTTTGGGGAACCTCTGGGGAGCTGCAGCTGTCCTCGGGGACTGGAGGGTGGTGGGCTTCTGTTTTGGCTTGGCCTGGGCTGCTCTGATCACCACCCCACCAGAACGATACCTCAGGATCGGTAGCCCAGCCTGAGACACTGCTCTGTTCTGCCAGATCAGCCCTCCTGATGCCCACTGGGCGCTCAGGGCTCCCGCACACTCACCAATCATGATGCCGGAGAAGGCCAGGATGAGGGCGGCCACGAGGGCGGAGGTCACGACGGAGAGGATCAGTGAGAGTGGCAGGTGGGGCTCGGGCGTGGGCGACACTGGAAGACAGGTTCCCCGGGCACTGGTGACTGTGGTCATTCTCCTCTGAGCTGGCCCAGGGCAAGACGCCCTCCTTGGCCAAGAGCAGAGCTGCCCCCTCTCCCCTATGAGGCGCCTTGCCCACCTTCCTTTTCTGGGGCACGAAGCAGGCTTGCTCTGGTCTTACCGCTTTCAGTGGTAGCTTTTGGGTGGTGGGAGCATGTAGCAGGGAAAAATATCAAATGATGGACTTTGATCCAAAACCTCAACTGCCCAATGACAGTGTGAGGCTGACAGACAAGCCAATAGTGGCTGTAGAAGAGATTCAGGGGCCTGCGGTGACTACAGACTCAGTATGACCCAGTCATAGAGTGTGCCAGTCAGTAACACTCGAGGCTGAATTCCTTCCTGTGGCCCCAGGAGCCTTGGGCCCAGAGTGTGGGAGGGTGGGTCCCAGGGGCACGGTGGCACAGACCACACGGGTATCATGCCTGGTCCTGGACACTACGTTTCAAAAAGTGCACCAGCAACTGGAACACCTGTGGACTCAGGACCCTGGGATGGAGAGGAGACATAAACTGTGTCCTGTGTAAACTGACTGAAGTGAATGGGTTATTTAATCTGGAGAAGACTTGCAGGAGGTCGGAAGCACTGTCTTCAAATACTGCACCTGAAAATGTGTTGCAAGTAGGGGACCTGGACATGGAAGCTGGAAGGAGCAGGGTCTGGCTCTGGAACCTCCCCCCCATACCCAGTGGAACAGTGTGTGGTAGAAGCAGTGAGGTCCCTGGTTTTGGGGGCATTCTAGTGTAGATGAGATGTCCCCTTGGTGGGGATGTGAGGTTCACGCCCTGGCTTAGGGGTGGGACTAGGTGACTTAGAACTCCTTCATGAGCCATGACTCACCTTTCACACACAGGCCTCTCTGCCCAGTCCTTACAGCACCCGTGTTGGGGTCAGACAGTCAGGGTCAGGAAGCTTACAGAACTGTGTCTGAGGTGTCCCAGAACATGGAAGCCATCTGTGACCACCATGGGCCTTTCCTCCATCACCCCCCTTACCAATGCAGGAGATGCCATCCTCGGCCAGCACTGTCCCATGGTCACAGAAGCAGATGACCCTGTGGCTCTCTGGGTCCATGTGGCACTCATCTACCTCGCAGTGGCTGCAGTTGAGGTAGTGCTTAATATTCACTTCCCCATGGCCCTCCATCACTGGGGACAAGGAGGGAGGGTCAGCTTCAGCCTGAGGCTGCAGAGACCACCCTATACACCCATTCCCAGCCTCTGTGCTTTATATCCAGCTGCTCAGTGTGGGTTTGCTGGTCCCCATTCCCACGTCCCACTGCCACTGAAGCCATGGTGTGTGTAGGGAAGTCCCTGGTGCAGCTGGTGAGAGGAGCTCAGAGGATGAGTGGGTGCCTTTTTGTGGGCAGACAGGAGGGTCCAAATTCATGATCCTCAGATTGGCCGATACAGGTAAGGCAACTATCGCTGCTATGCTTTCTAGGACTGGGCCCCTGGTTGTCAGTCTTCTGCCTCTGTGTCCGTATCAGACCACACACCTTGGCATCCAGAGACTTGCTGAGATGAGCACTAGGAAACCTTGCCTGCAAGCGACCCAGAATCATGCCTTTGTATCCTGGACTCAAATCAGTAGCCCCGAATTTTTAGGTGGGAGAAGCAAAAGGAAGTTGGACCTGCCACCTGGCAGAGTGGCTACCTTTCAAAGCCGGGGTATACAGGATGCCCAGGGGACTGATGAAGGAAACCCCATCTTCCCCGTCCATCTCGGGGTCATTGTTTGAGGCTGCGTTGCCGCCTGTGGCAAACCAGAGAAGAGTTTAACGCAGAGAGGTGGGTGCCCAAGTCTGAACACGTGTGCGTCAGCGGGGCATGCAGGGCGGCCAGTGGGGGGCCTCCGGGGTGGGGCAGTGGGAGGGAAGGGAGCTCAGGGCACAGAGGCGGCACTTGGGTTTGGCTCAGTAATGCTAGCGTATGGGCCACTTTCCCCTCCAGGTCCAGCCAGCCCCCATCGGGCGTCTCCACCACTCATCAGGGGCCCTGCTAGGAAGCAGTCCCTGTGAGCAGGAGTTCCTAGGCTGGGTTAGCCCATTGGTGCCTCTTACCAGATTGGCCAGGGCAGAAGCACTAAGGAGTTGCTCTCTGGCCCCACTGGGTCATGGATGGGGCATGGGGGATGGGCCCCTGTGCCTTTACGCTCCTGTCCCTCCTTTCAGCTGGGATGGGTTTTCTTTGGGCTTCCCCCTCGGACTCCTCCCACTAACCCAAGGCTTAGAAAAGAAGAACATCTGGTTATAACAGAACATCTTACACACAGCGTGAAGCAGAACACAGACAGAACATCACAGTGCGTGCATGCATCATGTCCTAATCTGTGGAGATGGTGGAGCTATCATCTCCCAGCCTCTCAGCTTCCGAAGGCCCTTCTGCTCTGCCCCGAAGCCCAGAGGCGAGCTGGGGCCAGCGGCCAGCTGCTTGCTGAAGGGCTGCGCTGGGGCTGCCTGAAGCTGCCCTCAGGATGAGCACCCATCAGCATGGAGAGTAGCGCCGTTCTGGAAGCTGATGGGCTGGGGCAGGGAAGGGAAGGTCTGCAAGGCCAGAAGCCACAAACCAGGCCATCAGGGAGCTGGCTGGCAAGGACTTTGCCCAGGCCATCGGAAGGGAGGCACGGGGCTGGGGAGTCTGGCCTCCAAGGTTCTCGTGCCAGCACCACTTTGGGGGTGGCAGACAGAATAATCTGGAGAATCAAAGCCTCTTTATCATAGGCTTGGGGGTGGCAGGGACCAAGGGTCACAAGGTGTGGTGATGCAGGCGCTGTTGAAGCCTGGAGGCAGGATGCTGGCTCGTGAGGCAACACCCTGCCTCTGGCCGGTTTGGCTGGGCTGGGAGGAAGGCGTGCATGGTTACATCGCGGCCCACACTTGGCCAGGGGAGGGCAGGCGAGGGCCGGGGAGGGGATGGGGAGGTGAGGTGCCTAGGACTAAGAGGGGAGGGGAGTGACACCTTGAACACGAATCATCTTTACCTATATATCCTCCGCCTCCTCCACCTGAGGAGCACCCCCCGCCACCCCCTCCGAAACCCCCTCGTGTCTCCCACCCCCACTTCTTCATGGCCTGGGGGCAGGAATGTCCTCCGGTGGCACCCTCCAGCAAAGATTTTCCAGACCATAGCAAGGAAGTGTTATCCTTCCAGCCACCACCACCACCTGCAGGAAGAGACAGAGAAACCCTAAGCCAGGGTGCCGGCTGGGTTAGGTGGGCCGCTGACCTGGTGCAGGAGGCAGGACACGGTGTGCTTCAGGGGGCTCTCAGCTCCAGCACCCAGGGGCCTTGTCTTCACAGGGGCCCAGGGCCGTCAGAACCCACAGCTGGAGAAATAGAAGCATGTCCCCTGCCCTAGGGAGACCACTTTGGCCACAGCCGCGCAGAGGCAAATGGGAGTGTGCTTTGTACCCCTGCTTCAGGTTGGGCCTGGTTCTAAGGCCTGGGAGCCCCCAGCTGCTTGGGCAGAGGCGGAGGAGGTGGGAGGACAGGTGGCCCAGCAACTAAACTAAACTTGCTCTGCCTTCTCTCCTCAAATGCTGGGCCTTTGTTTCATTAACTGCTTCTCATCCCAGTGAGAACCAGGACCCACCCATCCTCAGGCAGCCAACTGTCAAAACCCTGCCAGGGTCACTGCAGTGAAGTTCTTTGCAGGACCTGGGCTGGGCACCAGATAGCCCAATGGGCTCTACTGTTCCCTGGCTGTGAAACCTTGGGCAAGAACTTCCCCTTTCTGAGCCTCAGTTTTCTCACCTGTAACTTGGGGATAGTGAGACTTGCCTCATAGGGTTGATGTTTGGATCAAAGGAGATGGTGAATGTGTGAAGTTCTTTATAAGCCACCAAATGTAGGGATTGTTGGGCATCTGAGAGGCAGAACACGTGTGTGCAGAAGGCCTCACACTCTGAAGCTCAGGCAGTGTCTTGACTGCCTGCTCCGAGGGGGCTGTTCCAAGGGCAGGAGCAGAGACGGCAGGGGATGGAGTGGGTGATGCCCTAGCAGCATGGCAGCCACCAGAGCTGTGCTTCCCAGCACCTGGGGCTGCTTTGAACTCTTGCAAAGGAAATGGCTACGTACAGAGCTCAGGCTAAGTGCAACTTTATCTTAAGGCCACATGCTGACCACAATAAATCTCTCCTGCTGGTCCTTGAGATTCCAGGACTCCTACCTTCTCCTCCCATATTTTTTTGTATGACACTTCAACAGGCAGTCTTGCTCTAAAAGACCCCAGGCCCTTTCTGCTCCAGCAGATGTTGGGTGGGGGTGACCTGCAGAAACAGCAATGTGGGGATGAGGGGGCATCTCCTGGAACCTTAAGGGGTAACTGGCCTGGAAGGGTTGTCTGGAAGAACCTGCGGCCAAGGTTCTCCTGGACCCAGAGCAGGTAGCAGAGGGACATCTAGGTGTGGGGAGCTGCGAAAAGAAATGACCACCTGGGGAGAAAGAGGCAGGCAGGCTTCTGGACATGAGGCCGAGATCAGGAACAAGCTCCATGCAGAAGAGGGAAAAGCAGAGCTGAAGGAGGCCCCCAGGCAAGTCGTAGGGATGTTTGGGACACTGCGCTGGGGTTTCAAGTTGCTGGCCTCCCTTCTGCCAGCTGGCGGGTGGGGTGTGGGCCTTTCACGTTGACAGTCCTCAAGCTCCATGGGGACCCTCAGTGGGCTCTGATGGATGTGCAGGGCCGTGAGCAGATAAACCAATCAGGGTGCAGGGGGCCTTGTGCCGTGTCAGCTCTCACTACCCTCCCCCCTCCACCATCACAACCTACACTTGGGTCCTAACAGTCTGCAGCTGGGGTGGTTCCTGACCCCTCACTTCATCTTGCAGCCTTCAAGCAAATGTGCAGAAACTAATGGACATAAAAATAAAAACAAACAACAACGAGGTTTTAAAGAACAGACTGAGTATGAAACAGTTTGGCCTTGTTGAAAAGAAAAATCCACCAACTCTCTATGAGCTCGCTGACTTTTCTGTAAAATGGGAACAATAAAATGGGAAAACCCTACAGGATTGTTTTGAAAAGCACACATATAATAGATGCAGGAGTGCTTTGTAATTTATTAAATGCTGTGCCAGTATGAGGGGCTCTGTAAATATTGCTGGGGTTATTCCTCACCATGGAACCGACAACTGTTTCTACTTTTTCTTCTCTCTCTAGCCATCTCTCAATTGAAGAAAAAGTTTGAGTTTTGTTTAATTAATCTCAAATCCTAAATGCCTTCAAAAATCCTCCCCCAGACTATGGAGAAAAGAAAACACAAAATGAATGAATTTTTCTTTTTAAAGATGGATGACTTCTGAGGAATCATGATTCACATCTCTTTCAATGACTGTCCCCTATTTCTGTGTGGCTGGATCTCACTAACGAGAGCAGAGCCCAGCCATAGAGATCCTATTAAAAGATTTTCCAGCAAGAATACATGATAGCTGGCAGCCCAGGGCCAGGAGATACAGACCACCGGGGCCTGGCAGGCCTGACTGCCCAGATTTCTTCCATCTGTTCGCATCCAGTTGCATTTGGTAAAATCCAGGGAGGGTTGGGTTAGCAATCTGAATGCTGCCGCATGCCTCTTTTTCTCAGTGACCTTCTGCAAGTCCAAAACCCCATCAGCAAGGTGGCCTCTGGGCCCACAAGGTGCAGCCTGCCCTTCCACCCACAGGTGTATGATGGTGCCTGGCTGAAGCTCACACAGTCCTGGGAGACTGTTGTGGGAGAGGGTGGGATTGTGGTAATCTACCTGCAGCTCCAGAATTGCCGTTCAGCCCCAGAACTGAGGAGTTATTTTCCAGTCTTTCTGGATGGAACGTGTCTGTCTTGGCCCCATAGGCCCTGCCGCCACCACCAGCTGCTATGATCAGGGGCACTGGCACGCCATCCTTCATCTGCCGGGGAGACATTCAGAGACTGAGCAATGGAGCTGGGCTTCCCCCATGGAGACCCCTGAACTGTTCAGATGTTTAAACGTGTCTGAGTGTTTGCTGAGCAGTGGGTGACGTATCAGTGGTCTGACATGGTCCGAGGGCTCTGAACTCATTACAGAAACCTATCAGCTCCATGCCCCCAGCTCCTGTACCACCGGGACAATCGGAGATGCAAAATCACTAGGAGTTAGACAGGGATTGGCAGGGATCGGCATTCAAGGCTGTTCACACAGCTCTGTTCCTGAAGCTTCTCATACTAGCCTCAGAGGCCTGGGCTGCTGGTGTTCAGAAGCAGGTCCCTGTGCTCTTTCTTCCCTTCCTCTCGGCTCTTAGGGGTCTCTGGCTCAGACCCCCACATCTTCAAGGTCAAGCCCTCAGCATCACTGTCCCTGTGGAGGACCTAGCAGGGTGGCTTTGCCTACTTTCAATAATGTCAGAAAAGTCCACCTTAGGACGGAGGAGGGCACAACTCTGAAGCAGGGACGACAACAGCCTAAGGCCTCAGCAAGAGAAGAGCTTGCCCTTCCTCCGACGGACAGGGAAGCCTGAATCTCTGGGCCTTAGACGGCGCTGAGAGCGCCCGAGGTGTTCCACTCCCGTGGCTGTTGTGAGTATCCCAAACCATCACGCCCAGAAAGTCCCTGCTCTCGGGGAGCCAGCGGGCCGACATTACCTTAAATACGTAGGTGGCTCCGCCCCCTCCTCCGCCCCCTCCTGCCCACTCATGCACGCTTCTGTTCACGCGGATTTCTTCTTCTATCACATTGTTCTCGCCAATGCAGACTTTCTGGATTAATCGGTTTGTCTGTAGAAACAAAAACACCTCAGGTTTGTGCCCAAAGTTGTCTACTTCCCAGCAGACAGAACTGTGCTTAACAACGGGGTCTGACCATCTCTCAGACAGCTTACAGTCACACTGAGGAGACAAAAATATATAAGATAACCGTCACTCTGGGCAGTATTAGAGAGGGACTACAAAGATAGCTTAGATGGAGGATGCATGGCACACTGGAGGAGAGGGGGCAGGCCTTTGTTGCAGTTTGGTGACAAGGGAGGACTGCCTGCAGGAGGTGATATTTAGACACGAGGAATGGAAGAAAGTTAGGCCATTCCAGGGGTAGAGAGCAACATGAGCCCAGAGGGAAGAAGGTGAGTGGGTATTTGGGGAAAAGCACAGGGAATCTCTTTGGCTCAGAAAAGTCCATCCTAGGATGGAGAGATGGTCCAGGAGGACCTGTTAGATCCTCTGGACTCTGAAGAGGGATGACAAGGCCTTGTGTAGTGAGCTAAGGCTAGAGGTGGGGTATGTAAATGGGAGCAGACAGAGGGATTAAGCTGGACAGTCAGATCATGGCCAGAGGCCTTTAATACAATCAAACTTCATTCTCTAGGCAGTGGGGGGGGGGCACTGAAGTGTTTTGAGAAGTTGCAGTTCTGCAGCATCAATGGAAAGAGAAAATTACAGCAGGAGGCCAGACCTGGATTTTGTTCTCAGCTCATCGGTTCCCATTTATTTCTCCATTTCAGACCTCTGATTCCCCCCATCTACTGTCCCATTTCTTGCCTCCAGAAATCCCTTGACACAGCCCTAAGCAGAGCTCCCTGTTGGCCATGGAGAACAGGGTGTGAACCCTGGACCCAGCAGGCACCCTGGTGGCTGTGGAGGAGGTACTCAACCTCTCTGCCCCCGAGTGTGGAATGGGAGTGAGGACGCTGTGGGCTGTTGTATTTACTTGGGAGCTCACAGGATGTTGTTTAGGATCGTGTCTCACACATGTTAGGGACTGAATAAATGGCTGTTATTTTATTTAGATTCACTTCTGGGTCCACATCTGATCTTGGTGTGGGTCCAGGCATCCAGGAGTTCCTGGGGATGTGCTGGAAATTCTGTGACACAGAATCCTGGAACCCTGGAATAAAGAGGGCAGCGCTTCAAGAGTAGCCACTCTGTCAGCCACAGCAGCTAAGAACTCTCCAAACACCAGCCTGACCTCGGAGGAAAATGACTTTTCTTTCATTTAATAGAAAAAAGGCCAATAAAACATCAAATTTTCATTGAATGTTACTGTGTAACCAGCCAGTGGACATGGCAATTCATCTTGAAGCCACTCCTTATGCTGAAGCACTCAGCGGGTGCTGGCAATGAGTACTAGAGAAATTTCCAGATAAATAGCTAAGATGCAATTTGTTTTATAGCATTTTGGATTTAATGATGGAAATAATTTGATATTTTTCAGAGTGGATTTAGTGTGAGTGGAAGGCTCTGAATTGCTATTGTAGAGAGTTGACATTTCTCCTATGTGCGTGCAGTGCTCTCCAGGGCTGGGGAAAGGGGTGGTAGAAGGAAACCATGCTAACAGCTGCCTGGGTGGGGCGCATGAGACGTGAGGGGCATGTCCTGAGGGCCAATCCAGGGTCAGGGGGTGGAAATGTGCACTGTCCACTGGGCCAAGCAGAGCACAGAATACGGGGGTCCAGACTGGCTTCTCAACTGGCTAATACGGGGGTCCAGACTGGCTTCTCAACTGGCTCTGTGGGCTGCTTTGGGCGAGACACCTCACGTTCCCGGACCTGCCTCCTCCTCTGTAAGTCAAGGGGCCGCTCAGCCTGAACTGATGGTGCTAAGATGAGGTCTGCCTCTCAGACCCTGCTCCCTGCCTCCTCTCAGCAGCAGCAGCAATGGGGCCTCCACTCCTTGGGGATGCCCTCTTCCCATGAACAGCTCTGCAGATGGCTGAAGACTGCAGGAGTCAGGAGGGAGCTATTGGGCTGCAGGACGTCCTGTCCTCCAACTCGGGCCCAGACTCATGCCCATCCCTCACTCTGGTGGGAGTGGGAGGCAGGAATGGGTGCCTCTCAGTCTGCAGCTTGCCGGACCTATAGCAGCAGCATTTGGCAGAGCGACCACTTCTTCATGATGCATGACGTTCCTCGCCTGACTTCCAGGGGGCGTCGGCATCTGGAATCTCCTGCTTCCCTGGCTTCTTCTCCTCAGCCTCTTTTGCTGATTCCTCTCCTTTTCCCTGACCTCTAACTGTGGGGTTCCCCAGAGCCCAGTCCTTGGTCTTTTCAGTCTGGTCCCCTCCCTGGGCAATCTCATTCTGCCTCAACTTTACACTGATTTCTCTCCACTCTCAATCTTTCTCCTGAATCCCAGCGGCACATCTTGCGTCATGCACTGGAAGTCTGCACTCGGCTGTCTACCAGACCTCAGTGTGACTGGCAGTGGCCTCCTGGTCCTGCTCAGGACCTGCTCCTTCTGAGGCATTCCCTAATTCAAGGGACGACAACTCCCTTCCTTCCAGTGGCTCAGGCTTAATTCTTGAGTTATCCTTGATCCTTTCTTTCTCTCAGTTCCTCCTCTAATCAGGCTAGAAATCCTTTTTGATTTTACATTCCAAATATGCCCCAAATCAGCCACTTTCACCACCTCTACTGTTACCATCTTCATACAAGCCATTATCATCTCTTGCCCAGATTAATGCAACAGCCACTGAATTCACTGCCAATGTGCCATGAGCTCTTCTCCATACTGCAGCCAGGGCGAGTCTTAATCTGCAAATCCCATCAGGTCACTATTCTCACCTTTCAATTCAATACCCTCCTGTAGCTTCCAAATACCCTCACTGTGGCCTGAGCCACCTCCTCTCTCACCTACTGTCCCTCTTGCTCCTTCTAGGCCATCCTACCTGTCCCATGAGCACACCAGGCACTCACCCTCCTCAGGGACGTGGCTTTTGCTCTGCTGGGGCCCCGGATATTTTACTTGCTCAGTTGCTCCTCTCTTTTAGAACTCAGCTTGGCTGTCACTTTTTTAGTACGCCTCCCTTGACCACCTAATTCAAACTGCAACCTGCCCCACATGCTTCACTCCCTTTACCATGCTTCTTTCTGCCCCAATACTTTCACTTTTGTAAGTCCTGATTACCTTATTCTTACTGGTTATTGTTTGTCTGGCCCTCCTCCCCCGTCATGAATGTGTCTTCAGAGCAAAGACCTTTTTTTTGTTCATGGATATGCTCCAAGTTCCTAGAACAATGACTGGCACGGAGTAGGTACTCAACAGATATTTGCTGACTATATTTGAATGCATTTGGAGCTCTCGGAATGGGCTGGCCCCTCACAATATTTGCCTTGTGAGAGATGCTAGTGGTGGGATTTAACATCTAGATCACTGGTTTTACTGCCTTGGGGATATCTGGAAATGTCTGGACAACTGTTCTGATTATCAATACCGGGGCATGCTACTGGCTTCTGGGGAGCAGAGGCCAGGGATGCTGTTAGACAGCTTACAGTGCCCACGGCAGCCCCCACCACAAAGGATCATCTGCTCCAAAATGCCAATAGTGCTGATGAAGAGAAACCTTGAGTCAGGCCACCAGATGAGGCTTGGAAGTGTGTGTGGGGGGTCCGTTCCAGGCTCAGGTGTGGCCAGACACACAGGAGGAGTAACTCCACAGATGTGCTGTCGAACCAGCAAAACTGCCAAATCCTGAAGTTTAATTCTTAGAATCCACATCATTCTTTAGAGGATCCTCTCTAGACAGCAATTTTCTGCCTAGGGAGGACTAGAGGTGGAGGCAGTGCTGTAAGCTATGGTTCTCCCTCTCCCAGTGACCCCTGGAGGCTGGAGCAACAGGGAAGACCCGTTACTCTCTAATCCATGCCCATGCTATGCCAGGCCAGACCAGCAGAGGGGGCTACCCTCTATTCTTGTCTGAGAATTGGCTTCTTCAGAACTCTCCCTGGGCATCCACAAAGTTTGAGAGCAAGTAGGTTGATTAATAAAATGATAAAGTGCAGCAACCCAGAGGAACAAGTAGATTACAAGTGAATTAAAAAAAAAAGGACATGGTCCTGTGAAAAGACATAACTGATTACAATCCAATCAAGTAAACGTGCCTTGCAGAAGTCAATGCAATCTTTCTGCTTAGATGAAAGAATTACATTAGCACTCAATAAATTCCTGTGGAAATTAGAGCAGCCTGTAATTTAATGACTTAATATGTTATAACAGTTTGGAAAGTTCTGATTATAGTTGCTAAATAAAAGTTGCAGTCCAGACATTTCTCATGTACAAGGTTGCACCTGCCAAGCTTACTCCTGTTGCTCTGCGTTAACCCTGCAATGTTGGGGAGGAAACTTGCTTCCAGCCTGGGGCTTGGCTCTTAGGATTCCTGAGTTTATTTTGTGGAATTGAATTGCTTTCTTGGTAGCCCTTGTTCCCACAAGGTAGCCCTTGTCCTCCAAAGCTGCTCTTGAGTAAGTTCTTGGAGGAGCCCTGGGTCCTGGGCACTAGAACCCGGCTCTCTTGGCAGGACCTGGGTTTCAGGTAAGGATGGGGGTCCAAGGGAAAGATGCGCCCTGCAGAGCACTGGTTCCCACCAGGACAACCAGCGACCCCAGGGTCCTGCCTACCCCCAACACAGGCAAGGGGCAAACAACTGGGGTGCTGGGAGTGGGCGCGGCTGCTGCTCGATTCCTCTTCACTATCTGATTCCTCTGGTGATTTCAGACCACTACTGGCTTTCTTAAGTTCTGCTTTGGGTCAGAATGACAGGCTGTCTCTGAGGCTGCAGACAATGGCAGTCTGGCTCATTAAGTGATGGGCTATAAGTGTAAAAGGGAAAAAAAACTGTAGAAATAGAGGCCCCAGCAAGTGCAGGGTGCAGCAAAAGTAGAAGCCAGAGTCCCTACTTTGGGCTGCATTGTGAGTGACTTTGGACAAGTCCCTTCACCACTGTGGTCTCCATTTTCTCACCTGTGAAAGAGGGGAAGCAGACTACATGGTCTTCCAGCTCTGAGTCTATTCTTTACATTTTTTTTTTTAGTCTTAATCACACAAGTAATGAAGGACATATGAATGCATTCTTTGTGACGCCATCAGACATTACGGACAAAGCACCTCTAACTCCAGGCCCCTCCACAGAAGCGACACCCTGCAACTTTTAGAACTTTTCCTATGCATTTATGTGCATCTGTTTGGCTCTGAGTCTGTGATTTTTGAGCTGAACAGGAAATGTCTAACCTGGCATTTTCCTGTGTATAAAAAGAGGGCTAAAGAAAATGATGGCCTAGCAAGGAAGTTTAGGAAGTGGGCTTCAATTTGTATGTCTGTTGAGAAGAACCACCATTTGTGCATTCAAGTAGGAGCCAATTCTTCAGTTTTAAGAGTTGTTCATGAAACCCATGCCTTGGCCTTGGTCCCTGTGGGGGTGTGAAACCCCAACAGCCGTACCACCTGTTTTCTCATGCCCCCAAATGGCCCTGGGAACGGAGGGGCACTTGCTGGCAGGACAAGGTGAGAGCTGGCAACCTTGAATGCGAGCTCCCGGGAGGAGTGGGTCCCGTGGTGGTGCCCTCTGAGGGCCTGGTGGGTATGAGGAGAAGGCCCTGCTCTGGGCACTTACGCTGGGGCATGCGTCCTCTCCCTGCTGCCCGACCAGGACATACAGCGTGTCGCCCTTCTCCAGCTTGAAGATGCCCAGCACAGACACGCCGTGGGACCGGACCATGGTGTTCTTCCCGCCCTTCCCACCGGCAGCTCCGTAGCCCGAGATGCTGCAACAGGACAAAGCACATGGGTTCCTGCCACGGGATGAGGACCGACCGCCTTCCCAGCAGCCCAGCAGCCCCGGTGGGCACCACCACAGTGGTCCTGACAGTCTCCCCAGCACTGGCCCCTGAGGTCAGGAGAGGACAGTCAAGTTTAGAGAGGAACAGGGGACTGCCTCATTCAGAGCTAGGAAGGCAAAGAAGTCTTAAGGGGGCAAGGCAGAAAGAGAGGGAGCAGAGGGTGGAGAGACAGGAGGGAAAAAAGAGAGGAGGGGGCAGGGGAGTCTGTGTTGATGTGTTGGGGTGATGGTTTCCGAAGGCCTGTGATTTCCTGCTGTGGATTTCCCTCTCTGTCCAAAATGAAAGGACTCTTGTGACCTTAGACAAGTAACTTAACTCTCCTGTTCCACATCTAGGGGGGATAATAAGAGAACCTACCTTCCAGCTCATGTGTGATGTGAGGATCGGAGGAATTAAGAAGTGTAGCCTCAGAGTTGTGGCTGGCACACCACAAGTGCTCAATAAGCATTTCTGATTACGATTACGATCATTATCAATGTTGGAAGACACAGCAATTGACTTAGTACAAAGTTGTGAAGTCTGTCCATGGGGTCTAGACACAAGAAGCTCCCACATGGAATGACAGAGGCAAGGGGTGTTTACGAGCATGGGCTCTTTCTTCCCATCCCATCAGTAACTCTTTCTGGAGCAATAAGAGTGCGCACCACAAACAGCCCATCACAGTGAAAATAAGAAACAGAGTGTGGGGATGCAGGATTATTTCTGCTGCCTCTTACGCTGTTGAGATGAAGTCAAGCTAGGATGGGGAGAAAAAGAGCTCAGCTGCTGACCCAGATCAGTGGGACAGTGTGTCTAGAAGACAGCTAGCATACCAGCTGCAAATGCCTCCCAGAGACCCTTGCCAGGAACAGCGAGGGAGGCTTTCGTGTCCTCGTGCATTTACATCCAAGGCCCTTCATGACAAGCTTCCAGGAATGCAAGAGGGTTTTGTACATGTGCCTACATGGTGGCTTCCCCATCTATTCTACTAAATGTCCCCTGTTCCAAATGTGCGAAGGTTCTCCTAAGGCAGAGCTCAGTCTTGCTCTGCAGAGACAAGCCTGAAGGGCTGGCTGATTGTTAATGGGGCAGTTGAGGAACTGAGGTCTCTGTGGAATGCAAAGGAGAGTCTGGTGTCCTTTGCTCTATTGGTGGTGAGGCACAGAATGGAACTCACTGCACGTTGGCATGGCTTAAGGCTGTGCTCACAAGAGGAGACTGGAGACCCACTCCAACCCTCCAAGGGCTTACAGAGGAACTGGGGAGACGGTCATAGTTACGGAAAGAGGTATAGGGTGGCTCCATAAAGGCGGCTCTATTACAGAGGCAGTGGGAAGAGACCAAAAGGCTCCGGGGCTTGGGGACTGGAGTGGACCCTTTCCTGGTTGTGTGTCCTCTCAGAGTCCCAGCCTCTTCCCTAGTCAAAGAAGAGCCGTATCTTCTTTTGCAAACTCACAGGGCAGTGCAGAGGTTCATTTTCAAAAGGAGATAATGGGGAAATGCCCTGAGAAAAGTGGCAAATCTCTGCACAAAGTCAGGGCTGTCAGGTGCTCAGGGCCCAGGAGGGAGACAGAGGACTGTGACAGACATCGGGCAGTGGCATGGAGGGACATAAGGGGGGAGGTTTGAAGTCCACTTCATGGTGGAGGTGATGGATGGGCAGGACTCTCAGACAAGCAGGAAGTAGTGGAGGGTGTAAGTGAGGCTGGTGTGAGTGGAAGTGAAGAGGCAGGAAAGCCTATGTATGTCTGAGTGCAGCAGGTGGCTGGAGCGGGGAAGTGGGGTGCTGTAGGTCTGCAGAGGGAGGAAGGGGCTGATTCCTGAGTATCCTGTGGTGTGCTAAGCATGAATGCATATGGCATCCCTCCGCTGGCCACAAGCAGTAGCTGTTCGTAATCTCATTTGACAGTGAGGACACTGAGGCTCCGAGGGATTAAGTAAGTCACCCGAAGCCACACAGCTGGTCCGCGGCAGACTCTGGTCCAGACCCCCGCGTTTCCCCACCTAGAGGTCATTTCCTTTTCAACGTGCTTCCAGTGAGCTTGTAGGGATGCACAGTGAGGGGGTTCGAGAAGCTACTGGCCCAGGCTAGTTCACTCAGCCTCTCATCCTCACGCCTGCCCCATTAGAAGTGGAAATGGTGACAAGGACAATTAAAAGGCTGAGGGAAAGGGAAGGGTCATCTGTGGGTGAAGACAAGCAAGCAGAATTATTAGCTCAGAGAAGGGGAGTAGGTAGCGGTTGTAGGGTCCAGGGACTGTAGGATCTAGAGACAGCAATGTGAATGGTCCTGCTCACCATTCCAGGTTTCTGAGGCTTTATCAGGTTGCATAAGAAAGTCATTTTAAACCAGAAGGTGTGGTTTGCTTGGAAACCTGCTGCCAGGACAGAGCCCTCGAGCCACCCACTCCTGCTTACCTCTGAGAGGTGAGTGTGCCCTTCTCCTCCCTTTCTGCACATTTGCATAGTCATTTGCATCAATCTGCATTCATTATAAATCGTTTTGAACTCTTTCACATGTTTAAATTTAACCGAATTATTACATTTTAGAAGTTGTTTGTTCCTGACTTGCTGTGCTTCCCTAAACCTCCTTTCCTATTTCTTCTGCCCCCCAACCAAATCTGAACCCCAGCCCAGGCCCATCTAGGTCTTGTCCCAGCTCTTGACAGTGAGGAGGGACGGGAAAGCCCTGAGTTCTGAGTCACACGCTGCGTGCTGTGCTGGCTGTGAACGTGTTAACCTGTTGGAGCCTTAGCTTCCCCTTCTGAGGAAAGAAAATTAGGATAAGAACCCCTACCCTGTGAGGATCAGCAGTGGGTTTGTAAAGATTGTAAACTGGTGCCAGGTGCAAGGCGGGACTCTGGGCTGGAGTCAGCTCTGCAGATGTCAAAATAGAGGCTGGAGGTCGCCAACCAGGTGTCAGGACGCTGGATTTTCCTTTCCTATGTGATGGCCTTGGCCCCACATTTCCAACCCAGAACTAAGGACTGGCTTAAAGTGATAAGGAGCAGGCAACTCCCTGCCGGGACTGATTGTAGCGGAAGCTGTGCCTCCCTCATCAGTCTTCTGAGCCCTGAAATCCCAATGCAGGGCTTCACTCCCTCTGAAGCTTCTAGTTGCTTCTACAGGGCAGATCTTCTTTGGAGTTGCTGTGCTACCGTGACAAAAGCATGGACTTGAATGAGGACAGACCTGGATCCAAATCACGCTGTTACTCAGGGCCAGGAGTTGTGAGGCACCCCCTTCCCAGGTGCTGACCATGCACTTGGGCAACCCTGAAAGCCAGTGCCTCCTTAAATTTTGTGTCTGATGCACCTTGCTTACTTTTCTGGTCCTGGACCTGCCAGGGTTACTCACTAGCTGTGTGATCTTCGATAGGTTATCCACCCTCTCTGAGCTCTGGTTTCCTCATCCATAAAAGAGGGATTATCTCTACCTTGAAAGAATTAAATGAGATAGTGTCAGAGGGGAGCCACTGAGCATACACAGTAGCTGCTGTTCTGATGTATCCCTGTGGGTGAGCCTGTCCACTCCTCTCCCAGGGGTGACGTCTGGGAGGCAGAAGGGGGTGAGCGAATGAGGCCCTGATTTCTAGATAGAACCCAACAGGTGGAGCAGGGCATGACCAACGGGGCCTGTGGCCAAGGCTGTTCAGTTCACCCAGGATCCACCTCTGTTGAGAGCCCGGGAGAGCACAGGCCAGGCTGAGCACTTCTGGGGACCCTCGAACAGTATGAACCATGTTACACAAACTCATGTCAGAATAATAACCTCAGCCCAAATCTCTGGAGCTTTCTCCCCATCCCTTGCAAGCAATTTATTTTTGATGGTTGACAAATGACAACAAATTAATATACTTGTCACTCAAGTGGGGAAAATGACTCATAGTTATTCCAATTTATGGGAAATTACAAGATACTGTTCTCGGTGAACTGATGCTGTAATTTTTTTGTTTTTCCTCATCTAAGTCCACGTCCCCTGGTCAGAATGGATGTTTATTGGGTTTGCATTTTATATTATTGACTGTGAGCTATTGTTACCTGATGTAATTGAGTTGTGAATCTTTTTTAAATAAAGAATTTGCAGCAAATCAAAGTGGCTGCTTGCTGGATCCTGAAATGAGAGCACAGCGGTGAGGCGCAGCCCAATGCGTCAGCACCATGCCTCTGACGGGCTGCCGGGGCTGTGTGTGGGGGAAGGCACAGGGGTGGGGGGCCACTAGGAGACACATGATGCACCAGGCTCTGGGCTCTGACCATAATTCCTGGCAGGACCTTGGGAGAGTCCCTCTCTCCCCTGAGTCTCAGTGTCCTCTGTGAAATCAGGACAGCAAGGTCTGTCCTGCCTGTCCAAGCCTGCAGGGTTATTGTGAGAGCCCGGGGTGTGTGTGTACAGGGCCTGGTCAGCCAGCAAGTTTCTGTTCAGATGTATAGTCATTACCCAGATGGGTCCCTGGAGCTGTCAAGGGCAGCCCTGGGGGCCAGCAGGGAAGGGTCAGCTATGGAGGCAGGTGCTTTTTGCTGCCCAAGTTCCCCTCGGATCACACAACTGAGCAAGGCTCATTATCCATGTCTTCCTACAGCCTTTCTGACCAGCGCAGCCTTAAGAGCTGGGGAATAGCAGGGTAGGAAGAGATCTCAGTAACCTCTCTCTACAACCCCTCCCTCTCCAGATAGGGCCGCTGTATGGAAGGGAAAGCACACTCTCAAGGTCACAGAACTTGAACCCATTCTGTTTGCAGCCCATTGATTTGGGACAAGCTCTGCCTCGGACTTTCCCTGCCCTGTGCTCATAGCGAACTCTATCTACACAATTACTCTGCCAATACTCAGGCCTGTAACTCTCTTCTACAGTTTAGAACTTTACTGGCATCGTGGACAGGTACGTAACTCCTCTGTCCTGTGGCCAAAGACTGAGGTTCCAAGAGTCACAGTCCTCTCTGCCAGGATGCCTGCACACCTACGTGGTGCCTGGCACACAGCAAGGATTGGGGTGGAGGTGGCATCACCCAGCTGCCCACACTGGTCCCTACGGCCAGGTGAGGAGATGAGTGTCTGTGGTGGAGATGAGGAACAGCTGCGGCCCTGGTCAGTTAGCAGGACCTGCTGGCTCCAGCTGGGATCTGGGGCCTCATGAACATTATGCCTAAGGAACAAGCGACACGAGAGAACTTGTCATCAGGAGCTGTGGGCTGTGCTTGACAAATGTTTTTATAGACAATTTGTGTGTGTATGTGGTGAGGACCCATGGTTAGGAAGGAGGCTGAGTCCTACAGGGGTGGGTAGGTAGGCAGGCAGGCTGGAGAGGAGAGAGGACGAAGTGGGGAAGAATTCTGGAAGAGTGAGAGCTGGCCGCTGGCGCCAGCTAAGGGCAGACTGCATGGCATGTCACACACAGGACTTGGCACTAAATCCCCTGAGTTCTTGGAGCTGGGCTTTGGCAGCATCTACCTGCCCTTGGGTGGTGAGGCTGAGGATCTTGCCCCCCAGAACAGACCCCCAGCATCCATGCTCCTTCACGCTTCACTTCTGCTGCAGCCCCACGGGCACACTTTCAGGCCTGTGAGGCCTGACCCTCACTGAGAGGGGTGACCCAGGGGTCTCCCACAATCAGGTGCCCCTCCCGCCACTACCCTCATCCTTGCCTGTCTTTCTCGGCCAAGTTACTTGAGGTGGCAGCTGTCACTCGGCATCCTGGCCTCCTCAGCTCCCAAGCATGGCTGTCGTCCTGGGTCATGCCCCCTTCTCCAACCCTCCAGTCATGATGATTCTGTCTCTCAACGCTTCTCGGCCCCAGCCTGCCTCTCCGTCTGTATTTCCCCTGTGATGGGCTTGCCCTTCTAGACTCTTGACCCCCACCAGCCTTACATATCAGCTCTCCCTGCCTCCAGGCCTGTGTCTCTCACCAGCACCCTCATGACTGCGCCAGAGGGAGCTGAAGGTGCTTGGCAGGTAAGGCTCCATCCCTGGGGGCTCCTTCCACCAGGAAGACCCTGGCCTCCTCTTCGTAGGCAGCTGTATTACCTTCAAGACTTAACTCAGGCCTCTGTCTCCTGTGGGAACCATGCATGAGCTCAGGCCTTCCCCTGGCATCCGACAGGCATGGCTTGTGTCACCCTCCACATCACACAGAGACGCTTTGCTCCTATGCCCATCGCTCCTGTGAGCTGGGGCTCCTTTTGGGCAGGAAGTGGGTCTTGTTCACCTTTATATACTCAGTGAGAGACACAGTGTCCTAATAGGTGCTGAATATGGTCCCCTGGGATTTTCAGGGCAGAAGGGGACGCGAGGCTGGACGCGATTCAGGGCTGGACGCGAGGGCGAATGCCCTCGGAGGAAGTGGCTGTGTCACTGCTCCTGTTTTGACAGAGGAAGTGGCAAATCCAGGCAAAGAGACAGCTGAGGGTGGGAAAGTGGGAGGCTGGAGGGAATGGGGGTTTAGCCGTTGCCTCTGAACCATTCCTCTACTCCAAACCTGCAGTTTCGTTCTCCCCAGCCTCTTCTCCACTTCTGGGCCTCTCCCTCTGCAGTAGTGGGAATGGAATTGACAGTGGATGATGGGCCCAGGACAGATGACTGGTTGAGAGCGGGGCTGCTTTCATTTGAACGGATCCCTGAGGAAGCCCCAGGCATGAAGACCGCCTTGGCATACAGGAGGTGCTGTATAAGTGTTAGCGCTCTTTCCTTCACCTCTGTGACCAGCAGTAGAGAAGTCAGCTGGGGCAATAATGGGGTCAGGCCTCAGAGAGCAGCCGGAGAGTGCCAGCTGAGCGCGCATCCTCCAGGAATCCACGGACGCCACAAGGAAGGCTCCCAACCTTTCTGTTTCCAGGAACCTTTTCCTTATGTCCCTTGGTGTGTCCCATGTTTTTCTCATTAGATAAACTGTACTTACTAAATACAAATTAGTTAATATGGAGAAAATATCTTCCAGAAAAAGGGCACCTAACTTCTCAACATGGATATTCCAACTGGGGAACATTTTGATGTTGTCTAAAAAGCAAATCATTAAATTGTCTGCTTCTTTGATAATTAATCATGTGACCAAGAGACATTCTTGTTCAAGCCCTGAGCCTCATATGGGATCAAGGATGAGGTGAGGGTCTGGAATGGCTGTTACAGCCTTTATTGGATTAAAAGCCAAGGACTCAATTACAACAACAAAATCCGAACACAGTGTTATTTGGGTTTGATTCTCCCATTTTGATACGGTGCCATCTCAGGTGAGTTCAAAAAAGCCCCAAAGATCAAAATGTCCTCTTTACCAATTTGGACAGGTAAAGGGTTCTGCTTCAAGGGAAAAATGGCTCCCTGTGTATGTTTCCAATGAGCATTCACCAGGCAAACCCGGGGGCTGCAAGCTAGTCTCAATATTCCAAAAAGAGAAATGGGAACAGTTCTCTGATTTGGGCTGGGACTATATCAATGCAGCGTGACAAAACCGCGGCAATTCATGAAGATCAGAAACCTGGCCAGATGTAGATATGGCTGTGATTAATAAAAAATGGGAAAATGAATTAATTATTATTTAATAAATGCAGTCTGTTGGGCAGGCAAAATCTTTAAAACTCATCTGGGGCCCATCTGAGGAAGTCAGAAAAAAGTCCTTGGAAGCAGAGAAGTCAGGAGCTCCTTCTGTGGGATCAGTCTGTTCCTGGGAATGCTGACTGGCCACTGCTTGTGGCCTCACATTATTGTTGCCCCAGCTGGTTTCTCTGCTGACAGGCGGGAGAGCACCAGGTATGTGCAGGCCTTGTGGGAAGAACTTGTACGTAATCTTCACAACTAGTTGGGCGGGTGTTAGCGACCCTCCCAACCCATGCCTTTAACACACGGGGAACAAAGTTGCAAGAGATTCAGGAACCTGCCCGAGTTTGGAAGGGGGTCTGATTCACACCGACTGAGGGGGAGCACAGCCTGAGAGGACGCTCCCACGTGGTGCTTATTTGTCTTTTTTTGTGGGACAGGCTGCTGGGGGCTTCAGCCAGGGATGGGATAATGGGTCTTGCTGGGGTTTACTGTTGGGAACTCTCTGCCTCCACTTTCTTTTTGTATGTGGGGATCTGCATGGAGGTCTGGGCTGGCCAGTATCCCTCCAGGCAGGGAGGCCTCCCCTCCGGGCTCTCCTTTGAGGCCTCCTGGAGGGGGTGGTGCATGGTGCCTATGCCCGGAGGCTCCGCTTTCCTGTTCCTCCCGTCCCCTGCATGCCTCTCAGAGTCCAGTGTGGGATTTAGTGGAAAGAACACACAGACTTTGAGCCAGAGGGCCTTGGGTTCAAATTCTACCTGTATCACTGATTGTCTAACATTGGATCTGTTGCTAAGCTTCTCTGGCTATAGTTTCCTCATGCAGAAACAAGGGAATGTCAGTAATAACAATAATAATGACATCTACTTCACTGTTAAAAGGAACAGAAATACCTGGTGGGTCCTCAATGACCATTCACCCCCTTCTATCTGGGACAGTGGATGTCCCATGGAAACGCAGCCAGTCAGGAAGGGGAGGGCTGGCCTGCTCAGTGTAGCGGGCCTGGGATGGTCAGGTGTCTTTGGCCATTTATGGGGATGTGTGGACCTAGAGCAGCTAATCTGATTGCAGCCAAACCTTGTTATTCATCCCTGCCCAGAATGTCATTTAAAAAACACTTAAGGGCTCTCCCTGAAGCTCATTTACACTGAGGTCCTGGGGAGGGTGCTGCGGGGTGAGGGGGGTGGGGCTTGCACAGAAAACAGGGTAATTTGAGAAGCGCTTCTCCTTTCCAGGTGCAGAGAATGTGCAGGGGGCCAGGGGCTGTGGGAGGGGGAGGAGAGCTCACATCCACTCTGTTCAACCTCTGGGGGGTGTTTGCACCAACAATGGAGTAATGATGATGCTTCCTGTTTAAACAGCCTGGCTGTGCACAGTGGCTGGAGGGTGTTTCTGGACTGTGTGACTGCAGTGAGGCTCCTGACCCACTGAGCCTCAGTTTCCTCATTTGTAAAATGAGGGCTGCAGCACTGGCTCTGCCTGCATGTTAGAGCTGTGTGAGGACGACAGCCAAGGGTCTCAGGCGCTGCATCAGCATGCCCTGGGGACTTGTTAAAAATTCATATTCTCAATGAAAGAATGAATGAATGAACTTAGTCAATACAGTGAATACCACTTAGGTCTCCCTTCTCAACCTGGATCCAGTAAGTACCAATATTTTGTCATATTTGCTTCATTAATGTAAAAATGTTTAACATAAAAAAAGGAAATTCATATTCTCAGACCCCACTCCAGACCTACAAAATCAGACATTGCTTGAGTGGGGCCAGCAATCTGTGTTCTAACCAGTCCTCCAGTCAGTCCAATGCCCACTGGGCGCTGAGACCGACTAATGTAGGCCATGCCTTTAGCTTTTCTTGGCTAAGTGGCCCCATGGGGTCAGACCTCCCCCAGCTTGGCCCTGCTCTAGCGGAATACAGTGGGGTGGGTGGTGGGCGTGGGATGAAAGGCTGAGAACAAATGCTTTACTTGTGAACAGGGAGGGCCCAGGAAAAGAGGCTCAGGGACCAGAACATCATCCTTTGTGTGCTTCATACTTTTGTTCCCCAAACATTTTTACATGCCCTGCTTCATCTGAACAGCATCAAATAATATTCAAAGACCAGCCCACTGTAATTATAATTATTAATAATAAAGATAAAGAATGCCCTGAAGCTAGTTCGTGCATGCACGTCATCTTCATAAACAGTCTGTGGGTTCCTTGAGGACAGAGGGCACATCTCCCTTTGTGGCTATGGTCCATTATCCCAAAAGTCCCCGTATCTAGCCCTCACACCTGCTCTGGGCCAGAGTCTACGGCCTCTGAGCATGGGTGTGCCCAGGTACCCCAGGGGCAAGCACCACAGGCAACAACCCCCTCCTCCTGTCTTCTTTGGAGGGGGGATCTGCCCTCGGCTCCCCCCCATCCCCATACGCACCTGTAGGTGTCGGTGGCTGGCACCTTCCAGGTCTGGATGCCCTTCAGGGGGCCCTCACTCCCCACCACCACGCTCAGGTTGGAGTTCTGGTAGGCGTTGTTGCACTGGGCCTGCGTGGGGCCGTGGGGGCCGCTGGCCCCACAGGTGGTGAACAGCCAGTGAACTGCGGCACAAGAGGAAAGGCAATCACTCACTGTGCCTTGTCCTTCCTCCTCCGTGGGATCTCTGGGCTGCCTCCAAGCTGTCTGCTCCATGGCCCCAAACCCACATTCCAAGGTGACACCAGGGTGGGGGCAAGAAACCAATCAGATGTTCAAATTGGAAATGTTGAGGATTTATTATGTGCCAGGCCCTAGGCCAGATATGAGGAGAAAGATGCAGATAAAGCAGACTTGGATCCTAGCCTTAGGAAGCTTACAGCCTATTAAGGAAGATCAAAGGGAATCTAACTAAACACAACCTAGGAAATAAAGTAAGAAAAAGAAAAAAGGCCTAGGAGGGTCCAGCTAACCCTGTACTGTGAGAGTTCTGAGAAGTGAGACAAGACCCCTTTTAGGTGAGACAGGCACTGGTGGTGGCTGGATCCTCTCCTGGTTTCTCAGTGAGTCTAGCAGTGCTGGGCAAATAATAGGCACTCAATCTATGCTACCGTGCCTGCATCCAACCTGCTCCCAAAGATCTGACATCAGCATATAGGATCCTCTAAGCTTAGAGAAGATCAAAGAGTCGACTGGACACAGAATCGGCCCCATGACCCGCACTGGCTCAGGGGCCCAGGACAGGGGTGGGAGCCGGGAACCCTGCCTTCCTGACCGGGGCTTTGTCTATCATCAGGCCCTTAACAGGGCTCAGCCTTCTTATTTACAACCAGATGGCTTTGGAAACTCAGTGAAAGTAGCTTTTAGCGTCGCCAAGTAACACAGAGTATAAACAATGGGGAAGCAGGTCCCATTTGTCTTCCGTGCATGTCCTCCTTTTCCAAGCCCCCCACCACTTCCTGGTGTTCTGTTGTTACTCAGAGCACCCAGTGCCTTCAGTGGCTTCCCGGGGGTGCCTCAGGAACACTCAACACATGCCCACTCCTCCACTGCCTTGGGCCATTTCCTTTCAAACTTTCTATCTTTGAGGCAGGCTGGATCTTGGGTAGTTGTTAGATTTCATGTTGGCCAAAATTCTAACATTTTTACAATCTATAAAAACTTCTAAAAAATGTGTTCTTGATAAATTCTTTTTACTTAAAATACACAAATTTGCTAGATGATTGAAGAAATTAATTTGCCTTTAAAGAGATTAAGTCAAGTTCTTAACAAAAATTATGGAAAAATTAATTTGGGTGTACACAGCATTATTCACTAAAACATTAAACTGGAATTTTTTTGAGGACTTTCAACTAATTTAATGATGCAAAAATGAAAGATTAATTTGGGTTGCTAATTATAAGCAATAGATTGACATTACACTGGGCAGTCTTAATACCCTGAAAACTAGGTCAGTTGCTGTGGGGCTTTTACCCTCTCCAGTGCCCAAGTCCTATGTGTATACTGAGCCCAAGGGTTGAAAAGGGAAGGACAAGGGTTTTGAAATCAGCAAGAACATCTGGGTTTGGGGGAAGCCTCATCAATTATTGGTTGTGGGATCTTGGTAGAGTTCCTTAGGCTATAAAAGGGGCGGATTGGCATGAGGACTAAAGGAAAGAAACAAGAGGTATGAAAGGTCACTGTAAAGTCCAAAACTAAAAGTGTGAGTTGTGCCAATGACTCTTGCTTTATACCCAAGGCTGGTGCTGTTCCTGACATGTGGCCAGGGGAGTTTCTGTGCATATGGATCCCCCCACCAGCAGCATGTAGGAAATTAAAATCAGTGAGTTGGGGTCGAGAATGGAGTCAGGGAGAAAAAGCAAAGCTTGAAAAGGGAGTTGAAAAATCCTGTCCCATAATTTCCACTTCCTGGAAGCCTATTCTGCAAATCCAGTCTGTGCCTACAGCAAGCAGACTGGTTTGGAGGCACCTCATCAATCTGGGGAGGAAGCATGGTGGTTCATTTAGTTAATTCAGTTCTGGAAATGAATGAAAAAAGTTTTCATCTCATTCATTTATTTTATTTTCTCAAGAGTGTGTTGAGGAAGACAGCTGAGGATCTAGGCTTGGCACCCTACCTGAGCATCTCACCTTCAGCAGGACCACTTCTAATTTCAACCTTGGTGAACATTGTTCTGAAGGTTCTGGATGTTCCCATAGATACTGGGCTCCCATCTCTTGGCCAGGGGCATTTGGTGAGGCAGGAAGAGGGACATGGGCTTTGGTCTAGATGGGCTGGCTAACTTCCATAGCTTTCCTGAGCCTAGGTTTCTTAATCTGAACACATGGAGATAATAACACCTCCTAGTTAGACTTGCTGTGAGTATTAAGTGATGAGCTAAGCACAGTGCATTCGGCATTAAGAAACATAATAAATATAGTTTAAAACTGTGTAAGTTCCTGTTCACTTTTTGACTATGGGTAGCAGAGACACCAAATCTCAATATTTACATCTCTCCTCCCATAAAGGAGGGACTCTAGGGCTGTTTCCCAATAAAGGGACCAGTGTTTTCCCAACTCAGTGGACATATATTAGTCTCAGGTGGTTTCCGTACACAAACTTTTGTTTTTATTTTCAGCAATTTCTGATGGAAAGGTCCAGAGAGGAAGCTCTTCCTTAAGCGGATTCCATGGGAACAGAGGATTCTCCATCCTAGGGCAGCCCCCTGACCCACCCAGGCAGAGTTCTGTTGCTTTCAGCCAGGTTCAAGGTGCGGTGGTCCTTCCTGCTCTTCTGGATGGCTCCGACCCTCATAAATCTGCCCAGAGTTACTTGGAAGCCATTTGTGTTCCCCACCAGCACCACCTCTTGGGGGTGTGGGGTTGCTGAGTTTATCACCCGTTGTGCAAGGGCTGTCCTCTTGTCTATGTGTGTGTGTGTGCTTGTCTTGCTCAAGCTTCATTCTGTTGTTTCTCTTTGTTCATTTTGTTTGAACTCTCATAAACATCATAGAATGTCACAGCAAGATGGGATCTTGGAGATCATTGAATTCAGGAAATTCCCAAACTGCCTGATTCTGTGGAAGTATAGATTCCAGGGCTTTTGAGATTTGAATTAGTATATACTAGTTTGGGGGGTGATTAGGGGAGAACAATACTTGTATTATGTAGAATCAATCAGATTTGTGACCTAGTCCTCCTTTACTGTCCAAATGGTGAAAGAACATTCTAGAGAAGGGAAGTGATTTTTCTGAATAAGTTAGCATTGGAGGAAGAACTAAAATTGGGGGCTCGTCCTTCTCTGCGTAAGGATCCTTTGGTGTGATCAAGCTTTTCCAGTTTTCTGCCCTGGAGACTTGAAGACTTTTCGGATTGTCCCTGATTCTCAAGACTTTCTTTAAGGCTATAGAATCTGTTTTTCAAGATGAGGTCACCAGAACGGTGGATGGCTTTTATATAAGGGGTGGGGACAATTGCTATTCTGCTTCACTTCTAGTGTTCTTCTGAAAGTGCCCAACGTTGTGTTGGCCTCCCGCAGCTGAGCACTGGGTTAAGGCTTGCTGGGAACAGACTACAGTAATTTCCAGATCCTTGCTGGAGGGACAGATTATTGTTCTGATTCTGGTGGCATTAATTACTGTGGGACTGGAAGGGCTCCCCGGGAGCTATCTGGAACATGGGACCCTGGGAGCAGAAAGGTCTGGCAGGTACTTGGGGCAGGGTGGGCATGAGATCAGTTCTAAGCTAAGGCAGGTAGGGTTGGAACCGTGAGAGGGGCAACTCTAGGTTGATTTTCAGAAGTGTCTCTTGGAGTAGAAGGCACTGGACACAAACTTGCTGATCAAAGCAGGCAGGTCCAGACCTGAGGGGCAAGAGAATTAGTGGGAGTAGTCCCAGGGGCAGGAGAAGCCAAGTTGGGCTTTGATCCTCAGGTACAAGCTGTTTGTTTCCTGACTTGTTTTATGTTTCCTTCTCTCTGTGTGTGTGGTTGCGGGTGGGGAGTACTGAACCTCAGATACCTGAGAGGAGAACTCTGACCATACAGGGGGCACAAACCTCTGTATTTATTGTGCACTTAATATAAGTCAAGCACTGTACCTTCATATATTTATAAAATACCTTTAAAGTCACTTAAACTTCACAGTCTTGAAGGTAGAGATATAGCATCCCTTTAAAAATCAGGAAATCCAAGTTCAGAGAAGCTGAGTGACCAACCTATGGTACACAGAGTGTATAATCAGGCAAGCCAGGAACTGAACATAGATATTCTGAGTTCAAGTTAGAGACTTGAAAAGGTGTTAGAATCATCAGGAAATTCTCATAGAACCTTTTTGAGAGTCTGGGTTTTTTCCTTTTAAATCCATGAGCCTAGGGCTCAGTTAAAGCTAGGACAGTCCATATCAAGCATGCTCAGGCCCAAGAGTAAGCAAACTACCATGAGGGGTCAGGTAAGAGTCTGGTCAGGATTCCAGGGTGAGTGGATCCTCAGTCTCAGAAAGTCCTACTATGGCCCAATAGTAGCTTAGCTAGCAGAGTGGGGCAGTAGGGAGTCATGGGCACAAGTCAAGGAGAGCAGGTGCTGAAAGTCAGGACTCTGGCCCCCAGAGAGGCCATGGGGAGCCAGGAAGTATCAAAAGGGAAATCTAATAACTAGGATGTTTACAAGGTTGGGAAGCAGAGGCATAAGACAGAGGGGATGGGTCATTAGCAACAAGAGAAGATCAAGATCACAGTGAGACCAGCAGTGAGGTAGGCTTGATGCTCAGCTGCCGATCTAAGAGTACAAGTGCACTCATATTTCTCCAGCTGAGAGTTTATATTGGTTCCTTAGGCTCTGTGCAGGAGGGTCAAATAGCTCCCAAGGAGGAGACTGGATTGGGAGAAGGCCAAGGAGGAAGTCTGTCTCTCTCTTTATCTCTTAAAAAATAAAAACAAAACAAACTATTATATTAAAACTCATTAATAAAAGAAAAAAGGAACTGCTTTATCTCATTCTTACTTATACCATACACTGGAAACCTAGTTTAATACTCATTCACATCTAAATTGTATAAAGAACCCACAAACATCAAAATACTGATTGGTTATAGAGAGCTGAGTAAAGAAAAATCCATTAAGCTCTGGGTTTCACTTTAAGTATATTGCA